TTTTTTTTTTTTTAATCAAATTCATCTCACGGGGAAATTCCCACAGCCCCTAAAGAAAGAGGGCATCTCCTCTCTGGGTTGGAGCACATGCTTAGGCTGTTCTTTTTGGGAAGCAATGTTTAAATTTGTGCTTTGGAAACAAGTGGATGGCCCAGGCCCTGGTTCCTGGCTCCATCCCTTGCCTAAGCAGATGATACTGCTCCCTTCCTGACCCAGCGTCCCTGCCAGTCCAGGGTCTTATGAGTTCTGCATTTGGCTTAAGTTCTGCATTTGGCTTAAGCCCTTCCTTTATTCCAGGTCACTGCCTCAAGGCAAGAGCTCTTCCGACAGGTGTGTGATATGGCACACTTCTGAGAAGCCCACATTTTTGGCCTCAGCATCATCAGAAGTAAGCATTGCTTGGCAACCCCAGCACAGGCTGCCTGGGGCCAAAAGAAAGGAGAATTCCTGGAATTCAGTAGTATCTGCCTTGCCACAGACTCTGCCCACAGATAAGCCAATAAGGCTATGTACACGCATGCATGCGCACTTGTACACATGCACCACAAAATGTACATACTACTCACACAAGTACAGAGCACATTTGTGCACATATACACACAAACTCACACGCCACAAACAAGAAGTGCATATAAATATTGATCATACACATAACACAAGTACCCACCGCACACCTGTATGTATAACGCATGCCATATAGTCTCACACACATACTGTTAAACTATGTACTCCCTCACACATTCATGCACATGCAGTTATACCATTCACATTCAAACACACACGCCCATACTTGCATGCTACACATGTGTGTATAATTATACACACAGTGCACGTCCATACATTAATACACGGGCACACTCACTCGTGCTTAAGCATGCACTCACCCCACATGCCTGTACATTCACATGCTCGTGAATATAAGAACCAAATTGGGCAGGAGACCAAGGACCTCCAACCCAGCAGAGAAGGACCAGGAGGAAGCGGGGAGCTTGGGCAGGCTGTGGAAGGCAGTGTGGAAGGGACCATGTCTGAGCGGGGGGCGGCATCCCCACCTGCACCGCACTGTCTACTGAAGCAGCTCTATCAGATCTGCCTGCTGCCTGTTCTCTGTATTCTGGTCTCTGCACTGGCACTGTTACTTCCGTTGGTGCACAAGGACCACACAGTTCTTGTGGGACGTGACGGCCACTCTCGTAAAGCTCCTTTTAGGGGAGATGATCCTTGGATAAAAGGCTTTTCCAGAATGCTGCTCTAGAGAGGGCAGCTGGGACATGACTCTATGTCCTGCCTGGGGTCCCTCGGGCCCCAAAGAACCTAAAAGATCAGGTGAAATGGTGAGGGGTGATGAGGGTAAAGCCGTAGGAGGCGCTAGGTAGAGTCTATATAGGGTAGTGTCTACAGCAGCTGCAGTGGGTGGCCCTGTGCTGGTCAGTGGGGCACTGTCTGGATGGGGTGAAGTACTTCTCCCTGAATACCCAGAATTCAGTTTCCCTAGAGATTAATTAGTCTTCTGAGGTCATGTGATGCCAAGCTACCAGTAACTGGTATCTAGCGTGCAAGGCCAAAGCCCATGGAATGACCAAGACTAGGCCACGTGTTCTAAGCCCTTTGTTTTCCTGCTGAGGCTCAGCATCAATACCGGGAGCTGTCCACACATTAGGACTTTGATGACCGTGCTGTCACACCTAGAAAGTGGGCTTAGGTAATCAGGGAGCAGCTGCAGGAGGCCATGGGTTGTAAGCCCAGATCTATTCTAGTTGAGAGACCTGAAGGGATGCAAGGTGGAGTAGCCCAGCTGGGGACCAGCTGAGGAAGCCAGGAAGCACACCGTGGGGCTTGTTGGGACTGGGAGTGAGTGTTTGCTCACGCTGTGCCTTCTTTCAGCAGGGACACTCCTCATGGGAGGGGTTCAGCTCTTGCCAGCCAGCCTTACCATCTACCTCCTTCCATGTGCAATATCAGGGAACAAGGGGTCAGGACACGGGCAAGGAAAGAACTTGGGGTTCCCTTCATCTGAACTGAACTAAGGATTTTCTCTGAACAAAGGGTGACAGGGTCTGAGCTCACCTGGGCACCTGAAGAGAGCAGAAGGCTGCCAGCTGAGCCGAGTACGCCACTCCAGCGTCAGCCATTGCCTTGGGGGAGCTGCTGGCTGCAGGGCCCAGCTTCTTCTCCTCCACAGGGGCCCCAGGTTACAGCAAGCAGCCAGCTAGGAATTTTATTGAATATGGACTATGGCCACATTCCTGGGTCAGGCTGTACATAAAGCGCTCAGCCTGCTATGCCCAAGAGAGTTGTAAGAAAAACAGTTCTCCACAGGGGTACAACCCTGGGTGTGTTGCAATCGCTGCTCACCTGGGCTTTGTAGACCCCCGCTGCCCTCACAGGGCTGTCCTGGCAACAGGTTCTGAGTTAAAGATGTTTATCCAGGCCTCTCCTGGTGCTGGGATATAGGGAGTGGAAGAAGCAGCAGGCTTTTCCATCACTGAATCATGGTCCCTTGGGGACTACTGTCCACCCTGCTCCAGTTACATGGAGTCGGACAAGATTTTGGCAATCCTGGGACTTGAACCGAGGACCTTACATGAGTGAGGCAAGCACTCTGCCACAGAGCTACAGCCCCAGCCTTACAACTTCAGTGTTTAGAAAAGCTTTAGTTTCACAGCAAAACTGAACAGAAATTTCCCATGTGGCTAAAGTTCCAGCCACCTACCCTAGCCACACCATCTAGAAGACAGGAGATTTTTCACAGACCCTGATCTTACAGCGACCAGCAGTGTCACTAGAGGCCACGGCAGATACGGCACACTCTAGGTCTGGGGGAACTCACAGTACCATCTGGCAGGGCCACTGCCAAGTTCCTGGGCTCCATCTCCTCATCCCTCTCCCCACCCCAGGAGCTCTGATCCATTTCCTGCCTCTACATCCCTATTTTCCAGATTGGAGGTTCACACTGTACAAAG